AGTTAGACATTGGGGAGAACTTACGTAAGTGAAAGGCTAATGAAGTACTGAAATCTCTAGTGCGTGTGGGATTGATGTCAGGAGGCCTTTCAGAAGAGAGAGACTGATCTGGCTTGGGCTGCAGGGATGGACTAAAAGACCCTTTTAGTCCTGTTTTCCTATGGCTCTAAGAGTATTTTGTAAAACTAGTGATTATGAAGTCAGACTCACGTTTACGAGGCAGACTCACATTTCCAGAATGCTGCTGACCTTCCTGTTGCGAGACAGCAGAGATTATTTGTGACAGTGCCACTTAATCATTTGTATTGCAACAGTTCTCAAAGATGCTGGTCGGGCTCCTGGCTTACACTGAAATGGGAAGAAATCTAATTGTTAAGGAGAGGAATACAGAGTGTTTTTGCCAGTGTCTGGATAGCATTGGAGGCTTTTGCTTGCTCTTCGTCCCTGTGTCCAGCTGCAGTGGGTACCGCTCGGTCCGTGTCCTAAAGACATTGGATGGGTGCAGGGGAATCCCTCCACCAAGATGGAGCTCGCCAGCGTATTTGTTTACTGGTTCAGGGGCTGATTGGGGATGCACTTTTTAATTGCGGGGAAGTAAGAGCATGTCTTTGTGTCCTAAATAGACGATTGTCCTGATTGTCACCCCCAGGATCCATTATGCTTAGCAAATTACTTTCTCTCTTTTAAATGCCTTAGTGATTAAAGATGCCACAGCAGATACCCTTAATGAGTACAAAAAGGGTAATAATTCCTTTTGTTGGCACTGAATGCAATTAATCAGGCCCCTTTACTTGCTTTTGAAACAGATGAGGCATTTAAGGCCAAGCAAGTTTTTAATTGGACTTTAATGTCTCTCATTTACTTCATTCTGGCACATCCATAGGAATTCCCACCCCCAGGTTTACTGTTGGATTTTTTTCAGGGTGTTGAAAGGCTCAGTGCAGAATGAAGAAATGGCAGCGGATTTGAACATGTCCTTCAGACCATGCCTGGCTCTGTCTCATTGCCTGGCCTGTGCAAAGAGCACAGAATTGGCCAGGCAGGAGCAGAGCTAAGGATAATCTAGCCCAGGGGCTGTCTCCAACACGGGGCTGACACTAGCTGCTAGCAGTATTTTTGGAACAGCCGTGAACTCAAGGGTGTAGCATTTTCCATTAGGCTCCCCTGCTTTGAAGGGACCACTGAGTTGAAATTCTTCTTAAGGCTCTCCAGAAGCTGCTGACGGAGGTGCGTGTTCATATGCTCACCCCTGTAGCTTCAAACATGAGGTAAATTGTATCTTATAAGGGATGTTCCTGAGATCAATGGCTAAGAGGAGGCATGGAGACCTAGAACAACATGCTCCTCTGCTCCTTCCACCAAACCAGTATTTCTCCTGCAGTCTCCCTTGCCCACCAGCTGCAGCTCCCCTGCCCTGTCCTTCCATTACACCTCACCCTGAGATCCTTCCCCTGTGGTAGGAGAGAAGGCTGCACATCATGGTAAGAGAAGGGTGACAAATGGACATGCACGTCGACGTTAATGTACACCAGGAATTCCCATGGGAGACTAAGCCCAGCCTTCGTCCAACCCACAGACTTTGCTCCCTGCTGTGAAGCCCACGCTGGCTCTGCTTCCATCTCCAGGCCCGAATCATCGGTTCGCTTCCCTCCGCTCCTGGTTATCCTCCACTGTGGTTTGAGCAAGGCCAGTTGTCCCTCAGCGTACCCCAGTTTGTGTTTTGTGAAGGAAAGCGTGCTGCAGCCCAGCCTGGCTGCTTGCTGCAAGCAGCTTTTCCCTGCTGACAGCTGCCCAGGCTGACAGCCGGGGGCACTGGGGAAAGACATCAGACCTGGCATGCGTAAGCTTGCCTTTGAGCCTGTTTGTCACTCTGTAGGGCAGGCATTCCTTGAGCAGCCAGTAGAGAGCCCGAGGCTGTTTCAGGTAGGTTTTCCAGGCACATGCTGTCTGTTTTGCAGAGTTGGGCTTTGCCGTAGTGCAGTTGAAAGTGACTGTAGGCTTCCACCTACAGAAAAGCTGGCAGGATACAGGTGAGCTGTGACTGCCTTGGGCAGGTGAGATGGCTCTCTTACTCCACAAGTTCTTTTCTTCCAAACAATTTTGGATGCACCTGGGGACAACTGCCTGTGTCTCTACGTCCCTGTTTCTTCCACTTCAAAGGCAGGCAGAGAAGTGTATTTTTGGATACCTTGTGTTCATTCAAATGTCTTCTCCCCAAGAGAGTTGGGGAAGAGCAACATAACAAGCTGGATCTGACAGAGCACTTCTCCAGGTCTGTCTCTGGACTTCTTTACTCTGTCCTTTGCTAAAAAGCCAAGGTCTCTGGCTGCTGGGCAGATCCTGTGTCATCTCCTAGCTGTCTAGCACGTGGTTGTCTCTCTTGTGCTCAACATTGCCCTAATTATCTCAATGAATTAGCTTTATTCAAAACAGTTGTCTGAGATATCAGTGTGTGGCAAAACTTTGTCTTCCATCCTTTGGAATATCTTCAAATGAAAGCTGTGTGTGTGTTTCTCTTCTCCTCAGCCTTAGTCCCGTGCAGCACGGTGAGCCTTGTAGTCTGTGCTGAGAGCAAAGGCGACAACGCATTTTCCCAGTGCGGTGTAATGAACTGCCTTACGCAAACACGGGGCTCTGCGTTCCAAGCTGTTGCTCAGCGGGGAATGCCGCGAGGGATGCTTGCCCAATATCGTGTTTGTTTTTTCCTTCTTATTTGTCATAGTCCTCTCCTCCCCCTCCCGCCCCCCCCACAATTTGAACACGCATCCGATACTAGATTTGGCAGTTGCGCGAGGCTCACCTAATCATAGATAGCTAGATGTGAGAGCAGAGTCTCTCTGTTTTTATCATGCGATGAGGAGGTTTTTGCGCAGGCTGCTGGGCCAGGTGCCCCCTTGCACCACTTTCCTTTCCCCCACTACCTGCAGATAAGGGCCCTCAGAGCCATCAGGTCTTGCAAAGTGAGGGAGAACTTGGGGGCTGAGCGAGGGTCTGGGTTTTATTCTGTGGTCGTGATATGAGGGCTGTAGACTTCTCGATGTGATGTTTGGGGATAAAGGTGACCGATAAAGCATTTGGCTTGCTCTACGTCCCTACAATGTGAAAAGGGCTCTCTTGGCACATTCCCCTGCAGTGGGCAAGGGGAGATTGGCATGACTGGAAAGAAACGTGACCAGGTCCTTGGACACTTGCTTGTCTGGCTTGGCAGTATGAGGATGGACAGGCAGTTTTATCGAGCTGCTATGGAGCCTGCCAAGGTGCCCTTAGTCCAGGGTCTTGCAACTCATACCAGCAGTGGCAGGGAGCTGCAACCCCAAGTGACCGTGGCCAGTGCAGCCATTCTTGCTCTGAGAGTCTTCTGGCTGAAGCTTATAGAGATGTCATCTTCTTTGATTTAATTCCATATAAACTGTGGAATTATTTTTCTGTAGAGGCTTGCAAATTATGGAAGCATAAACTACTTTAATGCTCCGATAAGGACAGCTTTGGATGCTTTCCCAAGAACAGCTATCCACGGGCAGAGCATGCTTGCTTTCTGCCTGGAGAGTACTAAGCAAGAGCAGCCTGCTGCATTCACCTGGCTGCCTTCCTTGCGGCCCCCCCATCCCAAATTCCTCTATCTCCCTGGAACGAGAATCATTTCCTCTCGGGGTTTTTGCAGAGGCAAGGGCTTTGCAGACCTGAAGTTATCTCTGGAATGTGTGTAAACAGGGAGTTCAATGGGATGTTGTTTGCCCCCTTCTCTTGGGGGTGATTTAAGAACGGGTTAATATGAGTTTGTTTTACTGGTTCCTAGCTCTGAGAATCGTCTTCCTCAGACGGTGACCTAGCTGACCCGAGTCCTTCATGCCATGTGTGTGTGTTTCCCAGCACAAAGCGGAGATTCGGGGGCCCTGCCGCGTGGGTGGAATTTCGGTCCTCGTCAGCGCTGAACAGATGGGAATGCTGCTGTTTCGTGTCTCACCCCGGGCCTGGCAACAGGCAGCACCCCGCTGCCTGCGTTTGGCGTGGTGGTGGGTGGCTAACTGCAAACTGTTCATCCGAGAACAAGGAGATGGGAGCCGAAGCTGGTCTTCCTGCTAAATGGGGACCTGGCAAAAGAGGCAGGATCCCAGCGCACGTGCTTTGGGAATCAATGTGTCACATGATGGTGTAGCTAACGGGATTTATGCTATCCTTGGACAGAAGCAGACAATTGCGTTCAGAAAGATGTCTTACTTGGGGCAGGAGATTACACGCAGTTCTGGTGTCCCTGGTTTCAAAGGCTGTTGAAGCATAGGGGGATAAAATCTGAGAAATGATGCATGGGCTAGGATAAAATGCATTTCAATGAGAGGCATAAAGAGCTCCATCTGTTTGTCAAAAAGAAGATTCAGATGCACCTTCATTATGGTGTGTGAGTACGTTACTAATGAGAACAGCCTGGGCACCAGAGGGCTTTTAGATTTAGAATAAGCAGTGGCAGCCAGAAACTAAAGCTAGACAAAAATCAAGTTGAAATAGGCTTGTTTATAACAATGAAATGGTTAAATCCTAGATGTGTTTTCAGTGCCAGTGACGCAGTGAAGCTGGATTCCTTCCAGAAAACGATGCTTTAAACTGAAGACAAAGAGTTGGGCTTAGCACTGAGGTGATCAGTGGAATGGCTTGGCCTGAGATACGCAGCGGGTCAAACTAGATGATTTAATGATCTCTTTTGGCCTGAAAGCTTTCTGTTCTCTTTACAAGATAAATGAAAAAGCCCTTTTACAAAAAGATAGTGCTTGAGATGGGCATCTAATGAACTCTGAGTACAGGGGTACAACAGAGTAGGATCCGCAGGAAATGCGACTTTGCTGTCTGGAGGCTGCCTGAAGTTGGCAGCCATCTCTTTAGTGGAGATAGCTCACCATCATGAAGGCTATCACTTTTGCGTGTCAAATTTATGAGCTCTGTTTTTAATTGCTAACTGATGTCTCCTCCCTATACTGAAGTAGGCTTTGCTTCCTTGTCTCCATCAGGGTGAAGAGGCCAAGTGGTATGAGCAGCCTCCTGGGAAAGATTGCCTCCAAAAAGCAGAAGATGAGCACGCTAGAGAAATCCAAACTGGACTGGGAGAACTTCAAGGAGGAGGAGGGCATTGGGGAGGAGCTGGCAATCCATAACCGAGGGAAAGACGGGTAAGAGAGACTTTGTCTGATAATAGTCCAGCGTTTCCCACTGCTTCCTAGCATGCTGGGATTTGTTAAGAATTTACAGATATATAAAGGCAATAGCTGTTCCTGGTATCTTGGAAAGACTGGTGAGGTCTGCAGTAGCTGGAGGCAAGCACCTATTGCTCTTTCCAAACAACCTTCATAAGTTCAAGTCCAACTAAGGTGGAGTCTGGCTGTGCTTTAACTGCACTCCTGCTAGTGGCACAGATGCAGTATGAACCAGTCTAGTGCAGCACTGTCATGAGGAAACGCAATTGTCTGCCCTGTTTTTTTTTTTTTTTTTAAAAAAAAAAAAGGTCTCAAATTTGAAGGCATGGTTTTTATTCCATTCTACAAATGGCGTGTTCCAGCTGCATCCAACCTCCCTCCTCCTGTGTAAAGATGTACACAAGCCCAGAACAGCTGGCAAGGTGCATTGCAGATTATGACAGCGCTGGGTATTGATTGTGTGCATCAAGCAATGTTCACTCCAATGAAGTTAATAGAAATATCATAAAAGTAAATGGTGACGTTGTAAATAAAGCAGAAAGTTAATAACATGCACTGCAGGGAAGGATAATGAGATCAGAAGCAGCATTTCCACTACAAGTGCTTTTCTAGGCTCTGGGAAAATATAACCAGCTTAGTGGACAGCTCATAAAATGTATTTTTATTGTAAGCTGTCCTTTTACCCCGTCTGCAGGAAAGCTCAGAGCTTCTGAATTCCAGAGATTTGAGTTTATTTTTCACATAGATATTTTATAACCGCTCCCTTTTCAATTTGCTCTTGCACCCTTCCATAACACCCCTCCTCCATTAAATCTATCCTGATCCGTGTCTGGAGACTTGCCGTTTAACAAATAGAGCAACAAAGCTCTGTTGCTAAAGGGATGGAGGCATTCCTTTGAGATCCCTGAAGCCAAAGATGATAAGCAATTTACGTTACATACAGACGTGGCAGAGAACGCATGCGGCAGATCATCACTGACGCTATTGGTGACTGCAGTGTGGCAAAAGTCACGTTCACGGTCCCTTAAATGAGGCTCCCCGTTGAAATGGTCTGTGCCAGGAGTGCGTAGGCAGAGTCAGCTCATGTACTAGGCTGTCTCCAATCAAGGTGGAGGAGTAGAGGGTGGGCTTCTTCCATAGAGCCCCATTAAGAGCTGAAGCCTTCCATAGAGCCCTCATCAGGAGCTGAAGCCATCATCTCCAGGGTTAGGAGGGAAGGGTCATGTTTGTCTGGTTGGTTGATCCTGATGGGATGTGGAGTGAAAATTTGCCATATGTAGACATCGGAGCAGCTGTGAAGTGTATTAATGGCTTTGGACCTCCACTGATCTGGACTGGACTAATACGAGTAGCATCACACTCAAAAACCAGCCATCTCCTATCCATTTTCATTTTTCTGGGACACACTATTCCTCTCCCAAAGTGACACCTTCCCAGTTTGTGAAATCAGCCTGAATTGGGGACCTTTAGTCTTAGCTGAAGTGTTCAAGCTCCAATCCAAAGGGTGGCCTACATGAATATTCTGTGGCATCTCTTTCTTTTTCAGACCTAAGGTGTCCAGCTTTCTTGGAAAGCATTGTTTTCTTTCCCACCCCATACAACCAGGACAGCGTTGTTTTCTTTCCCACCCCATACAACCACCCCATACAACCATCCCACCCCATACAACTTTCTCAGTGCCTGGCAAATCTTTCCAGAGATGCAAATGTAATGGTCCTTGAAGGCTGAAGAAGGGATCAGCACATAGAAAAGATGAGCAAAGCAGAGCAGCAATTTTGAGAGTATCTATAAGCTTGAAGAGCTTTGGCTTTTGGTGCCCATCAAATCCCACGCTAGAGAATCCACTGGGCTATGGGCAAGTGGATTTGTCATTAAACAGACAAGAACCGTTAGTGCAATGATAAATTCAGATACTTCTTGAAAATCTGTTTGTGCTAGTCAGGACGTGAAAGAGGAGGGGATCATCCGAGTATCTGCTCACTGTGAATGAAATCCACCTTCAAGGGAAAGAAAGGGAAAAAGGGAGGGGAGGAGATGTGCAGCTCACCACATTACTGGTTACAGGCTACTTGCCAGTGCACGTGATGTGTAACATGCTGCACGTCTACGGAGCAGCTTGCAGGGAGAGCGCACAGACACGGCTGCCGCTGGCTTCGGGTCGTTTTGCATGAGCCTGCTGCCCCTTTCATAGCCTCCTGTTCGCCTTCAACGAAGGCTGAGAAGCCCCTGCTTCGATGGGCAGTCTCCATAAAAATCATAACGAGTGGTTGTTAGCCCTTCAAACCAGGCCAGGTGGGAGTGGGGCGCTGCCTGTATCCCTGGTGCTGATGAACTTCAGTTCCCCTTTGCGGTACAAGCCTCTGCTCGCTGTTTGTCACACGTTAAGTCCCCGTGAGCCCTGCTTTGTGATCGAAAAGGTCTGCCTGGGGAGGAAAGCCACAGCTCGCTCCTGGAAAACTAGGGCCCGGACTGTCTGCTGAATGTCACACATACCCGAGACGCTACAGAAGTGGTCGCCATGTGTTGTGAGGAAGGCGGGAGGCACCTTTGGCTGGCGAGAGAAGGCAGGCTGCTTTTATCTTTTGGTGATACCCTTGCAGAAGTCACTGCTCGCAGCTCAGAGCCGCTCGCGCGAGCGGTGCCCTGGACCTCCCCGCGGCGGCAAGCGCCTTTGGCTGGCCCGACAACTGGGCTGCCGCTCCCGTCTCCTGCTAATGCCGCTCGTCAGCTGGTCGCAGCCTGGCCCCCAGGATTCCCAAGGCACAGGGGGACACGTGCTGCCCTGGGGCTATGTCTACCCTGCCCTTGGCTCTGATTTTCTGCCCCTTGCATCACCGTTTCCAGACTGCGGTTTTGTTTTTCCTGAGCAGCAGAATCTGGGCTTGCGCAGCCTGGTTGTGTCAGATCCCGGGGGCCTGTCCTGGTTTTAAAAGGAGAAGCTGAAGTAAGGCGAGGCGGCAGCTATCCCATTTGCTGCGGATCTGTCGTTCCGATGTATTTTCAAAGTGGAAACGCGCAGCAGCCTCTAAGCTGGGCCGCCTTTGTAGGGCAGGCCCGGTGGGGAAGCAGCCCCGCTCTGGGGCCGGGGCAGGACCGGTGCAGTCGCGCACCGCGTGATTGATGGTGGCTGGCAGGGGACGTAAAGTACCGACGCGACCCTCCCCGAAGCAGTTTGCAGCTGCCCTGATTAGCAGAGGCAGCCTCTTCTCCCAACAGATTTACCTTGGCTTGGCGTGGATCACAACTGTCCTGTTTCCGAGCCTACTGATTATTTACAGCATGTATCGATTAGGGTAATGAAGGTTATTTAGACAAACAGATCCTACCGTACAATCAGTGCTCGGGCCTCATTCATACGCTTTGTACTGCCGTTTGGCAGCATGGTGCTGCTGGCTGCTCAGTGACAGGCTGGGGATTGATAACGCAGCTGTGGCTCGTGCAGGGGCACAGAGGGGTAGGGAGGCTGGTGTCTGCCCTGCAGACCTGGTGCTTCCCTGCCCGTGTCCGTCAGCAGCTCCAGCATGAGAGCGCCTGCAGGATAAGCCAAACGAGCTTGTTGTTCCCAGGCTGCCTGCCCCATTAATCCAGGTGTGTGCACAGAGACAGTGGATTGCAATGTCCCCAGCTGATCTGCTGACGCGTTCAGCTTTGGCCCCTACAGCACTTTTCTCTGTCCGGCCAAGGACAGCTCCGTGGAGTCATGGTACAGTTCCTGGCTGATGTAAAGCCACTGGCTATGGCTCTGGGCTGCGAAACAGCATTCCTGGTTTGCGATCCGTATCGCTTACCCCCCAGGAAGAGACTCCCTGCCCACGTGAGAGAGACGAGGCAGCTGCAGAGGAGGAGGAAGGCGTTGACTCCTTGGTGGAGTTGGGAGAAGCAAGTCATGGAGGGGCTGAAGGAGCGGGTGGGCCTGCTTTCAAATTTGGGAGCTCTTGCTCCCACGCCCCATGCTCCGGGCTGTCATCCACGCTCGCCTGGGCCCCAGCG